TTACGGGTGATACAGAAATGGGGTAGTCTTTACCATTACGGGTGATATAGAAATGGGGTAGTCTTTACTATTACCCTGGCCCCTCCAGTTGCACACGTTAGCCTCATCTTGTGTGGACTATCCCCAGAGAATTTTGGCCATTTGGGGAGGCAGTTGTGGGGAAGTCAATGTAAAGACTTGGGTTCAGCCTAGGTCCAAATGAATTAGATGCCAAGTGCCTTATTTGGGAGAAGTATCTATTTTCTTCAAAGCCAGAGATGGTTTTCTAGGCAAAGTGTTGCAGTGTCTAGGTGACCAGTTCATTGAGCCCTGGGCTAATCCAAGTTTAAAGTTTTATTTTATTTGGAAAGAAGGGTGAGGATTGAATCTAGAGTTTTGGATGTTCTAGGCAAGTCCTCTACCACTGAGATATCCTGTCCCTTTTCTTGAAGTTTTATTCTTGATAGCCTTGAATTTAGCCTTCTGGAGTTCTGAATAGACTTTGAGAAGAAGCCACATCCTGAAGGACTCTCAGTAACAGATCATAGTTGGGATGATCTGATTTTTTTTCATCATAGATGGTTGGGAGCCACCATGTGGTTGCTGGGAACTGAACTCAGGACCTCTGGAAGAGCAGCCAGTGCTCGCTCTTAACCTCTGAGCCATCTCTCCACCCCTGATCTGATTTTTTAAAGATTTTTTTATTTATTTACTTACTTATTTAGTATATAGTGTTGGCATCAGACCTCATTACAGATGGCTGTGAGCCACCATGTGGTTGCTGGGAATTGAACTCAGGATAATCTATCTGATCTTGATGTGTTTTCAAGGGTGTTAGAGAATAAAAGTACACCATACTTACTGCCAGGGTTTTCAAGTGAGGTTCTGCATTGCCCATGTGCTTGACTCCAGTACTTTTCATATAAGGGCCAGTCCAGATGCTATGAGAAAAAAGCATCTGTAATAGCTTTTATTGGCCATATCTTTCCGTAGTGCCTACTATGTGAAGTATTCTGTGCTTAGTATTGCAGAGACAACAAGAAGGACAGGGGATTCACCCCGTACAAACACACCCACACCCACACACACCACCTTGTCTGGTAGTAGGGATATAAGCCATTCACACATACTTCGAATGCACTAAGAAATGCGATAAGTACCATGTGAATGAGACGAGAAATGTGGGCTTGGGGTATCTCAGTGGTAAAGCATGTGCTTAGCATGTTCCAGGCCCTAGGTTCAACTCCCAGCACTAAAATAGAGAAAAACCGCAAACAAGGAGAAAAGATTGGGACTAGAGTATTAAATGGGTAATGATAGTTTGTTAGTATAAAATAATATACTATCTAGAATTCTAACTGTTCTCATCAGGATATGCAGTAACTAGCATTTTACTTAGAGCCTGCTGGAATTGTAAAGAGTGTGGCATTTGGTCAGAAGATACTGTTGGACTTGGAAAAGGTCCCTCTTCACAGTGACATAGAATGATTCCAGTGAGAAATTTGTGCTGCTCACTGTGACCTTGGAGCCTTGGTTTCTTGTTCATTTATCTTCATGAGCAACGCACCTGTAAGCATGTATCTACACTTGAAAATGTGTGTCTTAAAGGATCCTGGGATGCTTTGTTGGGACAGGGTGGGGAAGAGAAGGAGAGAGTTATTGAGATTTTATTGTAAATCAGACAAGATAAGTTTTCAAGGTTTGTGTTTCCCTCTTCCTGCTGACTTGGATTTTTTTGTTTTGTTTCGAAACAGGGTTTCACGAAGTAGCCCTGACTGTTCTGGAACTCACTGTGTAGGCCAGGTTGGCCCTGAATGCACAGAGATCTGCCTGCCTCTGCCTCCCAAGTGCTGGGGTTAAAGGTGCGTGCCACCATGCTTGGCTTGGGTTGAATTTTCTTACTGATTTTATGATTTCTTAATTTGTTGGCATTGCCAATTTGGCTCTCGGTGTTTCATTTGAGAGGGTCCTAGTGAGGTTCAGGGCCCGTCTCTTCAGTATTACAGCGACTGTCTTCCGGATGTGCTCAAAAAGGAACTTAGTAGCAGTTCTGGCTTATGCAGTTGAATCTCTTCTCGAATGTATAAATATAAAATATTGGATTCAGCATAATTACTATTTTCCTTTTTGGTTTGATTCGCATCAGGTTGCACGCAATTTCAGGATTAGCTGGAGACTAGATTGAAGAAGGAAAAAGGGAGTTTTCTGTGTTTTGAACATCAGTGTTAATCTGAGTCAGTTCAGAGTGTCTTTCTCTGGCTCCCCAGTTTAACTGTTTTAGGTAGCACAAGTTTTGTTTCTACATATCCTCACAAAGATGCATTTTGGCCTTATAATAGCTAGTGTGTACTTTTCTTGGCTCAGTTTTGTGCTAAGGACTTTGTCTCATTTAAAGGCCACAATTATCATGCAGCCAAAATTATCACCTCTAATTTACTCATAGAAACTGAGATCGGAAGGGCTTAGGAAATACATTCACGGGGCTGGAGAGATTGATAGTTCAACAGTTAAGGGCACTGGTTGCTCCTGCAGATGACCTGGGTTCCATTTCAAGCACCCACATAGGGGCTTAC